CACAAGCATCCAAATAAACTGGGAAATGTGACCTATATCCAAAAGAAAAGAATAATCAATAGAAATGTTATGTGGGCCAGGGACAAGGGAACAACAAGTGACCGAAAATCTATGGCAAGGAGGATGTAGGGGGTCTGCTAGGGCTTGATCAAGGGCAATGTAACCGAGAGGAATTACTGAAGCCCAAATGAAGGCTGAGCATGATAGTGGGACAAGAGGAAAGTAAAAGGAAATAGAGGAAAGAACTAGGAGGCAAAGGGCCTTTATAGAGATCTAAATACAGGCATGTATATGTAAATATATTTATATATGACGATGGGGAAATAGATCTATTTACATATATTTATAGGTTCAGTATTAAGGGAGCAGATGGACATTGGGGCTCTACTCAAGTACTCCCTCAATATAAGAACATTTTGTTCTAATAATCCAGCACTCTGAGATGCTCACCTGCCAGACACGATCACTGAAGACAAAGTGGATGCATAAGCAAATGTGGTGAACAAAGCTGATGGTGCCTGGCTACCAAAAGATATAGTATCTGGGGTCTTAAAGACTTGAAGATAAACAAGCAGTCATCTAGCTGAGAAGCAACAAAGTCCACATGGAAGAAGCACACCAGCCTGTGTGATCATGAGGTGTCGATGGGAAGAGGTATGAGGCATCAAAGATTCAGAGCAAAAAATCACAATGTGAATGAGGGGAGAAGTGTGGAGTAGAGGCCCAAAGCCAATCTGTAAGCAATTGGACATCCCCTTACAAAAGGGTTGTCGGGAGAAGACGGGCCAGTCAGGATGCAGTATAGCACCGATTATACATACTGCTTTCGTCTGGTTCTTTAATGCTTCCTCACCCCCACTATCAAGACCCTAATTCTAACTTAAAAATGTGTCTAGACCAGAGCATGTACATGGGTACAGATAAGAGCTGGAAATACAGGTAGTACAGGACAGATAAACTCCTCTGGACCAATATTGTGAGTAGCCATACCAGGAGAGTAAGGGGAAGGTAGGGGGAGATAGGGGGAACAGATCACAATGACCTATCTATAACCCCCTCCCAGGGGATGAAAAACAGACAAGGGGGTAAAGGGAGACATCGGACAGTACAAGACATGAAATTTATAAATTATCAAGCATTCATGAGGGAGGGAGGGAGGAAGGGGAAAAATGAGGAGCTGATACCAAGGGCTCAAGCAGAAAGAAAATGCTTTGAAAACAATGATGGCAACATATGTGCAAATGTGCTTAACACAATGGATGGATGTAGATTGCGGTAAGAGTTGTATGAGCCCTCAATACAATGATTTTTTTTTAATGTTATGTTGTTGTTGCTAGAGGCCACCAAGTAGGTTCTGACTCATGTATAACAAAACATATCCCGCTCCTGGACCATCCTCAGAATTGTTATGCCCGAGTCCACTGTTGCAGCCATATGTCAATCCAATCACCAGGCCTCCTCTTCCTCCTTTTCCTAGCATCAGGCCCTTTCCCCGAGACTGCTCTAATCTGAAAGCATGGCCATGCTTTCATTTAAAGAGCATTATGACTTTAATTCCTCCGAGATAGATTTATTTGTTTTCTGTCAGTCTATGGCAATTTCAATATTCTTCATCCCTACCATAATTCAGAGACATAAACTCTTTCCTGATTGTTTTCATTTATTGTACCTCTTTCCCATAGAAGAGGCAATTGAAAATACTCTGGCTTGGGTCAAGTATACCATAATCCCTAAAGCAACATCTTACTTCTTTAACACTTCAAAGAGGTCTTTTTCAGCAGAGTCCAATGCAGTACGTCATTTGATCTCCTGACACACGTTTCCGCGAATACTGATTGTACAGCCAAGTACAACGAAACTCTTGACAACCCAATGTTTTATCCATTTATCAGCTGTGAGGGTTAGGGTTTACACTGAGTTGCAGCCCATATTGATTTTTAATGTAGTCTTAAATCTTTATCAGTAAGTACTTCAAGTCTCCTTGATTTGAACAAACAAGATTACATCGTCTGCATATTGCAGGTTGCTAATAAGCCTTCTCCCAATCCTAGTGTTGAGTTCTTTTTCCTATAGACCAGTTTCTCTGAGCATTTGTTCCACATACAGCATCATTATCATGAAAGAGCACAACTGATGAAAGAGCACAACCCTAATGTACTTTTCTGATTTCAAATCATGCTTTATCTATTTGCTCTTCTTCTGCATCTTTGTCTGTTATGCAGATTCCTCATAAGCACAATTAAGTGTGCTGGAATTCCCATTATTCACAGTGTTATCCATAGTTTGTTATGATCAGTAAGTGTAACAATAAGTGTCGACATGTAAATTATAGACATGCTAGAAAAGAATGCTAAAACAGTTATTACACATATTCTCTATATTTAAAAATAAACTCCTAGAGATGAAAACCCACTATTTGAAACTGAAGAAAAATACTGGATTGGATTAACTGCAGAAACGATAAATATGGAGTAAACAGCAGAGAACTTGAAGATGGAGATACGGAGCTTTCCAAGTCAAGGACAAATGATATATTCATCCATATCAAATAATAAAGAACAGCAGCAACCATGGGGATAGTATCTTTTGGTCTAATATTGGTGTAACTGGGGTTCTATAAGGAAAAAATTGCTAGGGAAAAGCAGAAAAAATATTTTAAAAAATCATCAGCCAATTTGGTTCCAAAAATTTAAAAAAACCTAAATCCACATATTCAAGAAATTTGATAAATCCTGAGCAGGATAAACCTAATGAAAACTAAAGCATATCATATTCAAATTTCAGAAAACTAATACTTAAAAGAAAATCTGAAATGTATCCAGAAGTAAAAGAGCAAAGATAAGAATTCACAGTGACTTATCAGAAATTATGAAATAAAATAAAAGAGCAGACAAGCATCTTTAATGTTTGGGGGCAGAGGCGAATGCATAGGGTCTAAGGGAAATAATTGAGATAATAGAAATATCTTGATTGTCATGGATATTTTGCCTGCATATTTTAACAAAACTTATAATATTATATGTAATTGAAGTTCAACATGGCTGATTATGAAAAAAAATAAATGGTGGGCAATTTGGAAGAACTAATGTTTGCACCCTATGAGAATTTAGGATAAAAAGAAAATCTATTTAAAAATTACAGAATATTTTCTTGGTTTATATATAGGTACTGCAGTATTCCAAAGAGAGACATGGGTTTATACATTCTTATGATACATTCTTTAAATAGACAGACATTAATATTCTTTTTTAATAAACAAACAAAAAATATGCCAGAAGTGGGATTATATTTTGGAAGATTCACAAAAATTAATCTCAAGCACTTTTTGTTTTGGGTAGATGCCATGCCCAAATTACTATCACCCTAAACTTAATATTGTAGGTCAAGGCTTCCAAACTTGTACTGGTGGGGTAGAGTTATGCACTAAGCGGCTAACTGCAAGGTCAGTAGTTCACGAGGCTTTCTACTCCCATAAAAAGTTACAGTCTTGGAAACCCATAGGGTGGCAGTTCTACCCTGACCTGCAGGAACCCTGAGTCAGAATTGACTCCATGACTGTGAGTTTGGGTTTTGAACTTGTCATAGAAGCCCTGGAGGCATTGTGAGGAATGCACTGGCAGTCCTGCAGGAGAAAGGCGAGGTTTTCTAACTCCTGTAAAGACATACAGTCCCACTGTGGGGTATTAGCTAAATCAACATGGAAAAAGCACACTAGCCTGTGTGATCCAAGGCTTGTAAATAATAAAACCCAAATCTGAAGGAGGGAAAAGTACCAGAGCTTAAATTCTGAGCACCTGGTTGGCAGAAGGCTATTATGGAGGCCCCATATCCATTTGCCCCAAATCCATTTGCAGGGTCCAGGATGAAACCTCTGGTGAATCCCCTCTGACCACACTCGAGGGATGCTCCTAATAGCCTTATTAGGAGACAGAAAGCTGATTATGGCCGACAAATTAGGCTAAAATGTATCTATCATTAAATCTCTCTTGGACACTTTTTAAAGATGTTTCCATTTTTTAAAAAACATAAAAGGGAAATACATGTGTATTTAGCCTCTGGTGAATCCCCTCTGGTCAAAGTCCAGAAATGTAAATAACCTTGCTATGCACAGAACATATTGGAAAGTAGAGCATTGCAGATGCAGTTGGGTTAAAATTTAACACTTTATCATTTGATCTCCATTTTGATCCATTTAAAACTGTTCTAGCTTTTAATCATTTTTGCTTTCTTTTCTATTGATGTTTTTATGTTTACTTTGTTATTGTTGTTAGTGCTTTGTAAACTTTTTTTCTGTATGTGAAATCCAGGAGAAGGGAAACTATAACGACATTGCCAGGATTAATGGTTCTTTGGGAGCAGGGCGGAGGAGACTGGAAGGAAACTGGGAGCTAACAAAGAGGAGTACAAGAACCAAGAAAATGATGTTCTACATTTGATCGTGGTGACGACTGTCCACTGTTTCTTGATGTGACTGAATTATTGAATTATATGATATCTCAATTATATCCTAACAAAACTGCTAAATTATTTAATCTCAGAAATCCATCAAGGCAGTTAGATTCGGTCCTATATAGCCACAAAGAGTTGGAATCAACTAGCAGTCAGGGAGTTTGGTTTTAGTTTAAACTTGTCATATAGTCAATGATTTATATCACCATTATAGCTTCAAATTTTCTCTAATTTACATATAAGAAAGTTATTTTAAACTGAATTTTTAAAGACATTATTAAGATAGGCTTTCCATCACTGTAAAGAGTTACTGTCTCAGAAACCCTCAGGGATAGTTGTAGCCTATCTTGTAGGACCACTATGAGTCAGAATTGACTTGGTAACAATAAATTTTTGTTGTTGTTGCTGTTTTTAATTTTTAAATACAACCAAATTTCTAATGTGCACATACACTAGTATACCTATAGTATATGTATAGCAATTTCCATCCAACTGTGTTTTTTACAACTATAATTAAAGGAAGCATATGGGGTACAATACTGCTCCTTTACCTCCAGTTTATTTCTTGAAGAAATGGGTTTCCAGTGAGAGACAACTCATGGAGAGAAAAGCAAGAATCAAGCCATTTTATGACACTTGTAAGATCTGAAAAAAAAATCAATAATGAAATTCATTAGGATGTATTTTGCAGATGCAAATTTAAAAACATAAATCAATTACTATTTTATTTATCCTTAGTAATTAAGGAGAATAAACACGAATACTTTATTTTTCTTTAGAAATTTTCTTTTTCTTAAAAGGAGTCTATATTGAGTGGCTGCCCAAATGAGCTGCAACATAAGAGTTGTAAGGGTAGTGCAGGATCGATCTGTAACCTGCTGTGTTACACAATGGGTGCCTATGAATCAGAACTCCACCTCACAACAAGAACAATGTAGTGAGCGAGAAACACACAGTATCCTGTCTAGTCAGGATACCCGCTTCTAAAATCTACAAGTTGTGTGAACTGATGTACACCATATACCTACCTTATGACTGCATCCAGGTTCATACTTGTGGTAGTTATATAACTGTCAATTTAAGGATTAAGCATGTAGGGGTGGAGTCTAGCCTGTCAATAAGGTCATAGCCAATGAGGCTTCTGTGTGGCACAGCCTTCCCCTAGGGATTCTGGGAATTCCGGTATTTCCTCTTTGGAGGTGGGAGACTCTCTGCTCACGCCCTGGGAGACATAGCAGCTGACAAGACACATAGACCCACCCTGATGCAGAGACTCCTGCCCACATGGACATGTTTCCAATGACACTGGATCCAAGGACTTTCTACCCACTGGCCTGTGATCTTCTATATTCAGTGTCATTGCATGTGTTTCATGAGTCTGAACAGGGCTTTATAGATTAATATCGGATATATGGGCTAATATTGGACATATGGACTTGATATGGACTGAAGTGGGATGTTTTCTCAATGTTCAATTGCTCTTGTATATAAATCTCTTTCTTATACACATATGTGTGTCCATGGATTTGTTTCTCTAGTCTACCCAGACTAACACAATACTTATTCCATGGGGTCAAGATAAATTGAAGTATGTAACGGCCACGTATGTCAATCAGAATAGTTCTTGGCAAAAGATAGGTGGTAAAATGGAACAAAGAACTGAGCTGAATTTCACAAGCCTGGGCAGTGCAATGGCTGCTAACCAAGAGTGGGCAGTGAGAGCCCACCCAGTAATTTCATGATAAAAGGACTTGCTCTCCACTCTCACAAAGATTAAGTGAAACCAAACCTCAAGCCTGCTGCTATTGAGTCATTTCTGAAAAACAGTTAGACTGCAAAGCAGACTAGAGACTCGCCCCATCTGATTTTCAAAGCTACTAATCTTCATGGAAGCAGACTTTCACTTCTGTCTTCCACAGAGCAGCCAACGGTTTCAAATCCTTACCATTTGGTTAGCAATGACGTGTGTAGACCCTGTACAAAGATTACGGCATAGCAAACTTTTGAGGGCAGATTCTATTCTCTTTGAATCGCTGAGTCAAAATTGGACAGAATTTAGCAACATTAAGTTTTCAAAAGTAAAAAACATTGGGTAAATATATGGTACCTGACAGAATAATATCTAGCAGACTTTCTCTCACATCAAACCCCACCCCCAAAATGCCATGAAAGCAGTGAGAGAAAATTCAGAGAGAAAAGTAAGCATCACACAATTTTATGACACTTGTAAGATTTACAGAAAAATAAACAATGAAAATCATTATTTATATGTTCAAAATTGTCAATATATATATATATATATATCCAACAATGGATATCAGGAAGTATAGGCTTTCCGTCTCAGAAACACACTATGAGAAGCTGGGTGTGAGATATAAGGAAGGAGTCTATGCCGTGGTTAAACAAAGACCTCGTGCACAGGCTGTATGCTGGCATGGCAAAAGTCTACAAAACCTAGCAGAGATCATCTGTATGAGCAATACCAGATGACTTATAGAAAGTTTATATAGCTGTAAGATAAATTGGAATTTAATTCCAGTCTGAATGAGAATGAATTGAGCATATCTCAGTGACGCAGTTAAATCCAAAAAGACTGCATTAGGAGTAATTGACCAGCACTTGAAGGGAGGCACGCTTTAATAGTTGAACACTAGAATCACCTGCTCCAATGGCAAATTAAACTAAACCTCACAAAATAAAATCATTTATGAATAATCTCATTGCCTTCCAGAATTGAACTTAATATTTTTAAAGGACGATAACATTACAACTCACTAAATAGTATTATCTATTAAGTACAATATACAGGTAAACATAACTAGACATTTTTAGATAGTAGAAAATTATGACCCATAGTTTAGAGAAAAACGGCTAATGGGAAAGACCCAAAAGTAAACAAAATTTTGGAATCAGTATAAAAGGGATTTGAAGCAGCTATCAAAATTATATTGAAACAGGGAGGGTGGAGGGAGAATGGGTAGGAAAGAGGGAACCGATTACATGGAACTGTGTATGACCTCCTCCCTGGGGGACGGACAGCCGAGGGGTGGATGAAGGGAGACGTCGGACAGGGCAAGATATGACAAAATACCCATTTATAAACTATCAAGGGCTCATGCGGGAGGGGGGAGAGGGGAGGGAGGGGAAAAATGAGGACCTAATGTCGGGGGTTTAAATGGAGAGAAAATGTTTTGAGAAACGGTGTACGAATGCGCTTTACACAATTGATGTGTGTATGGATTGGGATAACAGTTGTATGAGCCCCTAATAAAATGTTAAAAATAAATAAATAAATAAATAAATAGAAAGAAAGAAAAGAATGTTCTAAAATGTATTGTGGAGATGACTGTACACCTCTTTTTAATATGATTGAATGATGTGATATGTGAATTGCATGCCAATGACACTGTTAAAATTAAAAATAAACATTATTGGATTAAAAGAAAAAAAATTATATTGAAAGTGTGAAAGTATTAAAACAATGAATGGATGACCACAGAAGAAAAAATAAAATTTTAGAAAACATTAACAATAATGTTGTAGAAAAGGCCCAAGCACTTATAAATTAAAAAAAACAAAACACTGCTAAAAAAGCCCTGGGTAAATGAAGCAATCAAAACAAAGCTTAGAAAAGAGACCGAGTTGAGTGATAACGAAAGCAAAAAGCTTCAAATTCAGCTGAGTGCACAGAAAGCCGTGCTCCGAGGGAAATACGTGGTTTAAAATACTTACACGGAAGAATTATAAATCCGCAACTATGTTTCCACCAAAACATTTTTTTTAATGATCAAACGAAACCTCAACTATTTAAAAGTGTGGAAATAATAAAAGGCACAAAATACTGAACATAAAAAGATAAAGCACTAGAGAAAATAAACAACACAATAGGTAGTTCAAAATTCTTAATAACATTGGCAATGCCCCCTACCCAAAAATGATGCAAAAAACATCCACACAGAAAGAGAATTGAAACACTACAAATTGGAAATAAAAGGATAGAAAGTATATCTCCTGTAATATAAGCATTAAAATGGTAAAGGAATGTCCAGAGCAACTTATTCTGGTGTCCAGATTACAGAGTAAATTCCTTGCAAATATGTATTTCCAGAATTAATGAAAAAATTGAAATAAAATAGACATCTTTGTTACTGTTGTTGCTCGGTGCTGTCAGGCTGAAAGGGGCCCTGTGTACACAGAACAAAGCACCGACCTCGGACCATCGTCCCGTGTTTTCATGCCTGAGCCCATCGTTGCAGGCACTGTGTGAGCCATCTCCTTGAGGGCCGTCCTCTTTTATGCTGCCCCTCCACTTTGCCAAGCTTGAAGTCCTTCTCTAGGGGCTAGAATCTCCTGATACATGCGTGTCCAAAGTACGTAAGATGAAATATCGCCATCTTTGCCTCCGTACTTCTGGTCTTCATTTTCCAAAACAGATACATTAGCCCCTTAAAGAGTCCATGGTACTTTTAATATTATTCTCCGTCACCACAATTCAAATGCACTGATTCTTCTTCAGTCTTCTTTATTCAATGTCCAACTTTCACATGCAGACAAGGCAAGTAAAGAGACCAGGACTGACGTCAGGTGCACCTTAGTCCTCAAAGTAACGTCCTTCTTTGCCAATACTCTAAAGAGGTTTTGTGCATCGGATTTACCTAACACAACTTGTCCTTTTGTCTCTTGACCACTGTGTTTCCACGAGCATTGATTGTGGATTCAAGCAAGACAAAACGTTGACAAGTTCAACCTTTTCTCCTTTTATCATGGTGACCTAGACCCACAGGTTGAGAACCGCTGCTAGTGGCTCCCCATCTTGTAATGCTACGACCACTGTTGGATGATCTTCAGCAAAATTTTACTTGCATGTGATATCAGTGATATTTTTCTATTGTTTGAGTATTCTATTGGGTCATCTTTATCCAGAATGAGTACAGATATGTACAATTGAGTACAATCGATTGGCCAGGAAGTTTTCTTCTACATCTCCTGGCATAGATGAGGGACTAAGCTCAGGGCTTAATCAGCTTGCTGAATCAACATTAAAACTACAGATGGATAACAGATCCAATGTAAAAACAAAAAAATAAATTTTTTAGAAGAAGGCATAGGAAAATATTTTCTCAGTGTGATGGTAGAAAATACTTAATGAGTGGCCACAGAAAAATTACCAAAAACTGTCTGTTCATCTAATATTTCAAATGTCTGCTCATCTAAAAACACAGAATTAAGTAATTCCTATTAGGCCAAAACAGACGCTGACAGAAAACTTTAAAAAACATATCTGAAAAAGTGATTTATGCAAAATGTATATTAAAAAGGCAAATAACCATTTCTTTAATGGAGAAACTTTAAATCTATACTTCAAAAAGATACTTTCTAAAGGAGATATAATTCAACAGTAAGCTTATGTTAAGATGCTGAACATCATAAATTGCATACCCCAAATTGTGGGGATAAAGGCATGAAGTGGTTGGCTTATAAACTTTCATAGGTGGGGGAACATATTCACAGGATTATACAATTAAGGTATAGGTGTTATTGCAATTGTGAGGCTAAAGAATTATGTACAAGACCAACTTGGCAAGGGGTGATCCTCGCCTTTATAGTTCTCAGGTCTTTTGCTTTCTGATGGTCAGACCAGGACGCAGCTGCCTTAGCCAGTTCCCTGCTTCAACTGGCAAGGCTCACACATTATATTCAAGGAAATTATGACTGGATTGAAACCACAAGAAATCATAATGAAAAGCTGAACATATGCTAAAAGAGAAGAATTCTCAAATATTCGTGCAGGTAGTAAAAATTGCTATATCAATGTTGGGAAACCGTCTGTCAAGTTTCTTCTGAAATTAAACTTATCCTCACTCTAAAAATGCAATGATTATTTTCTTAAGTACTTATTCAAGAGAAAACACAAACAGAAATACATATCTGAAAAAACATTAGTACAAAAATTTCCAGAGGGACTTTATATTAATGTAAAACTAGTTTCTATAACCCCAAACTACAAACGATCAAAATATCCATGAACATGAGAATGAATAAACATAGTGTGGTATACAATGATCACTGTTCAGCAATCAAAAAGGATGGTCCTGTTTGTGTAAACAACGTGCAGGAATCTCACACAAAAGCTAAGGGAAAAAGCTAGGGGGAAAGATAACGTACTGTGTGACATATGTATAAAGATTCAACGCATGGGGCTCAGTTCACAAGAGTGGTTGATTCTAGGACTGACAGGAAAAGGGGTAGTGAGAATTTTGGAGAAAGGGATGATAATCATATTTTTAGTGAACCAAGTAAACTCATCATTTTTTAATTTAATAAATAAACATTTAATAAGACTTCTATGGCATTGGGTTTGGACTTTAACAAGTATCTACTTTGGGGAGCTAGGATTCAAAATGTTATATACATTAGCTTATCCATCTTCAGTGGGCTATTTATTTCATGTACAAAATGTATATTGATTTTAAACATAAATGTAATTGCCTAGTTTACCAGAAATATATTGAAGTAAGTTATTTAGAAGTGGAAAATAAAATTTTTTAATTATTTCAGCATGCCTAACTACATGGATTTAGGAGCTGTGAGGACACTGGACGTAAACCTTGACTGCTAACCACAAGGACAACAGTTCAAATCCCACTAGCAACTCTGTGCAAGACATAAAGCTCTCTGTTCACATACTGATTTACATTCTAGGGAGCCTTACATTGTGTCACTATTAGTTTGAATCAACTCCATGTTAATGGGCGTTATGCAGATCTGTTCTTTGTAAATTCCATTCATTTATATAAATTTAAAACAACTCTTTACCTTAATGTAACAAAAACTGAAAGGTCTATTATTTTTCAAAGATATGCTATTTGGAACTTACCAGAAAGACAATTGTTGCTGATATCCAGTTTTTCCAAAGAAACAAAATGAAATAGCGGTATCATTTCTGTTAAACTGAAAACACAAACACATGAAATTTATAAAACAATTCAATTGAATGTCCCCAGTATTACTAATGCTCTTACATAATTCTACCATTGTTAAGAATCAGAGATTTCTATTCATTTAAAAAAAGAAATTATAATGGAATCACAAGTTTTAATAATAAATGCCATGGTGATATAGTTGATATTTGAAGAAAGTTAATTTTGTTATTGCTTTGCAAATATAATTTTTTTCTGTATTTTCTTCCTAGCTCAATGATATAGCCTGATCACTTAAGGTAAACACACATCACTTATTTTAACTACTCAACAATATAGTTGATTAGAAATATTAGTTGTTTTATCTTAACTTTAAAATTGCTAAATTATTGAAAGCATTCTAAATACTGTCACTATTCAGTGTCACTGTGGTAGTTTAAAGTTGAAATATGTTCAACAATAAACAATGAACCCAAAGAACCCAATAACAGAAAACGTTTCACTTTGATGAAAGACAAACCTTTTCTACGAACGCGAATATCTAAATTTGGTATTGTGATTTCAAATAAGAGTAATATACTGCCCTCCATTTTTAAGTGTTTATTATTTCTTATATTATAAATTATCATTAAGAATCATTCAAGCAAAAAGCATAAGTGGTCTACAAAATTTCACAATATTGGAAATAAGGTCAAAACAGTTTTACTTGCATTTCCAACTTCTGTGGTAAATCTATTTAGAAACTAAAGCTAAGTCAGATCATATGAATCTTAAATAAGAAAAATTCCTTTGCATAAAATATATTCTCATCATAATAACAAAAGTCTTCTGAACTAAAACCATCTGTAAATGTTAGAAATTCATTTGTTCAAAATAATTTTGGCTACAGGAATATCTGTTATAAAAAAAGAGTAAGTATTTATCTCCATTTCTTTTGCTTTCCTGACTTTTATAATATCTCCTCAGCTATCAAAGCAGAACAATTTTCTTTTTTATTCTACAACCTTCCTGCCACTAAAATATAAACAAACAAAAACTACTCGTATTTTAAGGCCAGAAACCTTCAGAGTAGTATTGTGACTGGAGGCACCATGAGGTCTGGCACAAAACTAACACTTGTATTGAACTTGAACCCTCCCCTATCCTGTTCTGCATTAGCAAACAGACAGAGGACACTATTGGAAGAAGAAGTAGAAAACAGACTGAGTAACAAGGTTCAAAGATTCTTTTAAATGTTACCAGGCCTAAGAACAACATCACTATTCATATGAAACTTACAAAATACCATTTATTCTAATTGCGAAGTGGGAAAAAACACACTTAATGAAATACGAGAAAAAGCAATAAAATACTGGCTAGTCCATTTTCAGTTCTCTATAATTTGTATATATATGCTCCCTAATAGTAAGATTTGTCTAAATGTCCCCTGGACAATCAAAACGAAGAAGAAAACAAGGACTTAAAAACATTGATGATGCATATGTCTTAATTTTATGACATTTTCTATTTAAGAGCAATCTATATTATTATGAATAATAACTTTAGACTCCTCTAGTGAATATACAATTCTAATAAATGCATTTTATGACAGGAAAATTATTATTTATATTGCATCTTTAATATCTATCTAATATCTTACCAATTCTACTGTGATAATTTTGAGAGTAGTAGATATAATTTCTCTCATTTTCAGACTATCTCATTTTAAAAATTATCAATTATATGGGGATATATTTTTTAAATCGATAGATTAATTTGAAATAATCAATGAAACTTTAGAATTAAAAATCAATAGTAATTCTCCATGCAAAAATCAATCCAAGTAAAGAAATATTTAATTGGGCATTTTTATGAAAATGAAATATTTTTTTAGATAGACATGTCTTAAGAATCACATATTTTTCCTCTTTTGAAAGCTTTAATCAAGAATCTGATTAGGTTATTCATTCACCTTTATGACTATTTATTAGAACACCGGAAACCTGAGAGTAGAATCTTGAGAAAAAAGACTAGGGGGAAAAACCCTCTAAGACCTTCTTTTTTCCCCTTTTACTGACATTCTGTATATATTTTTTTTCTAAGAAAATTCAAACCAGAAAGACAAAGGACATTAGTGAAAACCTAATACCGTTTGACCTTGTCACATTCGCCCTGGGCATAAAAAGATATAAATTTCAAAGAGGACAAAAAGCGAAAGATTTGTACAATGAGTAGCCAATGGGTAATAGTTTCCACTTTCTGCTCTTATTTAGAAACTCAATGGAAGTCGAAAGGCTGGAGACTCAGTTAGAACTCTGCTGAGTCAAACTTAAAACAGTCATGCTCTAATGAACATTAAAACAGAAGTCAGGATGAAGCAAATGTTTCAAATAATATATACCAAATATCATTAAAAGTATTGCATTTGTTGGGAAAAAACACATATGGACACAATCTCTTCCTTTTGATGAAAATATTATCAAAAATTAAAAGAAAAATATATGCAATTTAAGTCATACCAAACACTGTAAATCAAAATGTTACATTGAAGAAACCCATGTTAGGTTTATAATACCTAGTCACACATACTCTATTTCTGGACAAACATTAAAATCCCATAAAGCTCTATCTCACAGTGACCGTGTATAAAGACTGTCTTCTCCTGCGCCATCCCAGAATGGCTTTTAGGTTGAAGCCCAGTATTATAACCACTGTGTCAAACTCATGGTGTACAATGCATAACTTATACTGGTAATTCTATGAAGCTTGTTAAAAATTGTAAGACTAAAAATTATTTTATGTCATTATTTTAAAATTTGTAAATATTCTATATGTCGACTTCTATCACATTGCAAAGACGCCCTGAGGCCTTTCTCCCTTCACCCACTCAGAAACGGGAGATAACCGGTCCCAACGAGCTTAGAGAATCCCAGACGGAATAGACTCACCTACAAGGGGTAGTATTAGAGAAATATTTTAAAACAATAGATACTGCACACTAACAGCACCTTGTGCTATGATGAAAAGCTTAAAAGAAAAGATACTGCTAGGTTCTTTAAAGGTAAGTATGCATATTATTAATTTCTGTATCCACTAAAGTAGGACAGCACCACCTCAGTATTACATATAAGACAAAGCAAATAATATTATAAATAAGGATCATTTGGATTAAATAGCTCAATTACTGATATTCAATTCTAAAATAATTTTTATGCCCTAGTTTATATAATTCCTTGTTATGTAGGACTGATATGAGCAACAGGTCATGTAGACTAAAAGGCCATCTAGATTATCAATTAATATCAATCCTAATTTTTAGAACTAGAATAACGTCTTCATTATTAAAATTTCCCCAAGACATTAGAGGCATTATTTTAAATGTCTTCTAGTATCGTTAATAAGCATGGCTTGCTAAATTTAAAATTAAGTTTTATTATCTGGTTGGAGAGCCACTCCTATAACACAAATTCAACTAACTGGTGAATAATCTACTTTAGATACTCAAAACATATCTGAGGGCTTTATTTCTTTCCTGGGAAATATTCTTCTAAGATTCAATAGCTTTGGGGATGTTCCACATTACTTAAGCCTAATGAACCTGGTTTTCAGTATGAATGTCATTTTAAATACAAATAAATGTTCATAATTTTATTTGATGTAAATGATTTATGGGAATTTTTGAACGTGGATTAATTTAATGTTTTGCAAAGTTTATTAGGTGGAAGCTAAATAGTTTAGAACATGCATGCTCAAAGGACGGACACAATTGTAGTAGAGATTGAGACTTAATTTTACATGTATTTTAGAATCCAAATACGTTAAAATTAGGCAATGTTCAAAAGTTTGAAAGAATTGTAGAACTCAAAAGAGTAATTTCTTATTAAAGGTAGTTCCTTTTCCCTTCTCCATGTGCCTTTGATGAACAAATTAATCATATTAGAGTGACTAGGTCCCAATGAAATATTAAGCGGATGGAGGGAGACACATGCATAGTGTGTGTGCCCCTGCTTTGGTTTTAGACATTTATCCTCTACAACAATCCAGATGTTTAGTGGTCTCAAATGGATATTCTGTGGCAGGTAACCATTTCGATTTAATGTTAAAATACTTTTTTTAAGTGTTACATTATATCCTTAGGGAAATCAAATTTAAATTAATCTTAACAGTTACAAGAAGACATGCAAGTTGAGAGTATCTTAAAAATCATTCTTCCAGGACTTAATAAGTACCATTTGAGAGAATGAGACATCCTTCTGAATTAAATTAACGACCTCCTGTATTTTCTAAGGGCTATATTCTTTACAAATATAAACAAACCAACCTTGTGAAGTACATTTTTGAAAAGAAACAAAATCAAGAGAATCAATTTACAATTAAAATTCTAATAATTTAGGGTATACCAAGCACGACTTTGTGTTTTAAAATTGTATAAATTTATTTTTATAAGATGATTTACCTACTATGGTGCACTTTTACTAGAAAAACTCAAGTTTTTCTGGTTGGTTATGAGCATCACACATTTATTTTATGTTAGAGTTCACTGCATTGTTAAAGTAAAGTAAATTTGTACCTGTTTTGAGAGAGAGTAAGATTTTGTAGTAAAGGCAGCCAATATGAAGAAAATGCATCCACAGTTGAAATGCTGTTATCATCCAAGTGCAATTCTCTTAATAGAACGTGATTATCCAATGATGGAAGCTAGATTTAAATTTGCTTCATTAGTCACATTAAGCAAAATAACTCATCAGTTAGTAAAGTTAGAAAAAATAATACCTAACAAAAGAAACAATAGCTTTGCTGTGGTAGTTTGCATATAATAAATCAAAGTATAATATAATAAGAATTTTCTTTGAATTAAATTTCTAATAACTGACTTTATACTGGCAAAATTAGTGTTTTTATAAAAAATACATCATGACAAATTATAATTTCTTAAAAGAAATTTTATCCGACTAATTACTGAACTATAACTGAAAATTTGTGATTTATTGTTTTATTATTATGAAAATGCTAAATTAAGTTAATCAATAAGATATTGAAACTGTATTGAACTTTTTAAATAGAGAAAAATATACAATAAAATTAATTTTATGTCAAATGTGCCTGATGAACAAAAAGGAGACAATTCAGCATTGTTTTGAAAACATATGGTGGCTTATATCTTTATCAAGTGAATATTATATTAAATTGGTTAATCCAAAGCAATTACCTCACTTAAATAATTTCCTTGTAACTTCAATATTTGGAGCAGTCCACAGTTTGCAATGCCATGAACTTCAGTTAGATGATTATGTGAGCAATCCAAGTATATAAGGGTAGGAGTGTCAGAAAGACCTTTTGTACCGATTAACTGATTGTGGTCCAAAATTAGCTGCTGAAGGTTTTTCAATGATTCTAAACCACCTGGAAGAAAAAATTTCAAGATCTCTTGTATTATACATTCTTCCATACTCTAAGAGGGAGTTCCTACTTGTTTTTCATGTGTATATTATCTAATTGTTACATTTGCATATTTTCCAATATTCATAATTACAACACTTAAAATTCTTGATGAAATTTATCTCATGAGATGATTGATAATTTAAATTTGCATCTGTGATATAGTTTTGAATGGTATAATAATATATCAATTGAAAAATCAACTTTACATTGGACACTGAGTACTAAGTGATTTTGCTTTCAAATAACAGTAAAACACAGAGAGAAAAGATTGAGTTTTTGTTAGTTTTATCAACTCAATTTCAGTCCCTTAGATTTTGAATCCTCGCTTAAGATCATATATTTATAACCTTACTTAAGGTATATATAGATATATAGCATTGGAATATCATTTTACTAATACTGAAATATCTGCCTTACATTCCCCCAAAACGTAGACACAACTATATTAGTACTAATGAACTTTTAGTATATACTACAGTTATTTCAAGATAGTCATTAGCAACTAGGTTTTTCACAGATAAGCTCTAAAAACAATGATGCTATACTAGTGAAGATTCTAAAGGTGTGAGTCACTGGTAAGAAAAAAACTGAGAAGGTCGTTCAAATCAGCCAACAGAAATTATCATTGGACACAGATGATGAAGAATTCTATAAAAGTGTATGGATAATATAAAAAGTCTAGATTTAATTAATATTTTTAAAAATAAATAGATAGATAGATAAGGGTTCCTGGGGGGTAAAGTAAGGGAGGGAGGGGATACAGGGGAGCTGATATCAGGAGTTCAAGAAGAAAGAAAATGTGTTGAAACAGATTGTGGTCGCAATTGTACAATACTGCTTGATGTGATTGAACTATGGAAAGTTATGATATCTGCAAGATCTCCCAAAAACATGACTTTAAAAAAAAAAGAATAAAAATCTAGATCAGATATGGAATTTTATGTTCTGTGTTGGTACTATGCTGTTGTAGGAATAGCACATTTTAGAAAGTGGAACTAAAATTGAAAGTCTAAAGTAAGCATAGATCAGTAAAATATCTTTACTGAGGATTGTTCACATAGGAGTTGTTGAAATGAAATCTTGAGGAAATTAGCTTTATTTGTATTTTCTTGTCAAGTTCCACAAAATATTGTTTCAATTAAATGTCCAAACAGATATGGGTTATTTTACCAAAATACTTATTTGATAATCAATTGATATAGGTAACCCTTAAAAGAAACAAAATTGCAGTAAAATTAATATCTAGAATTCATTAATGTTTTTATCTTAGAAAAACTTAGAAGTATGAATCCAATATTTGTTCCTTTGATTATACATTTATGAGGACACACATCAAGTTGTCATTTATAAGAGGACGCAGATCAAGTTGGCTTTATTACATATGAAGAAATTAAAGAATCAAGTAACATTACCAAGACCTCACAGGAAAATTTAATTTTGTAGCATCGTTATATTCAGGTAATATAATGGTTAGTACGGTAGTTATACAGTAAAAATAATTCATTGAAACACATTTTAAGATAATTATAAAACAAAAATGTTGACTCTGATAAAAATTCATGTCAAATGAAGGACTTAATGTGTTAACTTACTATTCTCATACAATTTTTTCATGTTCAAAAGTATTTTTCCTTATGAGAAATGTTATATGACGTCAAAGACAAATAGACAAGTACATAACAGAAGTAGAAGCAAAAAGAAACAAATCTAAATTTAGCCAGTAATTTTACATGCTTAAGCTTTTGTCAGGGATCAGTGTATTACACCTTCTTGTACTATAAAATAGTAATTCCAACAAAGAAAATTGACATCCAGTATTATCAGGGATAAACTGCCTTTTCAAATGTTTAGCAAAGTAAAAATCAGAGAATAATTATATATTGTCAATTTTAAGGAATTAGGAATATTATATTGTGTAATAATGAGTTGTTGTCTTAGAATAAAGTATCTTTTACTACATAGTTAAATGTCTTAAACCATGTACTTTTATAAAAATTCATGCCCAAGGCTGTTAAATTTTTCATCATTAATCTAAATACAGTTTCTATTAACTCACTTGAAATGGGTAATTCAGTTCCAAAACTTTTCAAGGATGGCCCAAGAAGAACAGCTATACATTAATGAAAGGCAAGGATTTACATCAAAAAAGATGAACAAGAACAGCAGATAATGCAGAAGAATTGAGAAAGAATTATGCTATGAGGAAAAGGCAAAATATTCTTAAACGAGGGCTTAGCATGAAAAAACTATTATATAAATGTTAAAGTAGTCAATAATGTACTTTAAAGTAGGAGCAGTGTCAGGCAGAGTTGCAAAGGAGCAAAATGAAGTAAACAATTGAAAAGATCCACCACTTTTCAGAATTTTGATAAAGAAGAAAGGACTCGCTAAAGGCCTTAAATAGCATACAGGATCCTAAGTTATCTACTCTTTTGTTCTCTCTACTCATTCCAATGTGTTTGGCCCTTGCTGTTCCTAAAACATGTTAGACATACTTCCACCTCAGTATTGTATTTGTTTGAAACAACTCTCAGCGTGAGCCATATGAGATCAGAAAGAGTTAAAAAAAAAAACCTAATTAGCTAATTTCATATTTTGGAAAACCCAATTTTCCATTAATCTACAAAGAATGGAAGAGCAGTCTAACCAATAATGAGTTGACCACCTCAAGAAATAACGATGCTTTCATGCCTCAAAGTATTGATAAATATTTGACCTAACATTTTTACTAATAGAAATCCATTAGATAATACCCACATAACTATAAAGTGATGTTACTTGCAATATTAATTAAAATACTGACTTTTAAAAATTCTTGAGAAAATGCTGTTACCTCCTTTCAATTCTACTGTTCCATAAAGTTTTTTTTTCAAAACCACTTTATTGGGAGTTAAAATAGATATATTATTCAATCACATCAATAAGTATTGTATAATTGCTACCACAATCAGTTCCAAAACATTTTTCTCCTTCCTGGACTCCTTGACATCGGCTTCTTTTTACTACCCCACCACCACTATATCCCCCAGAAACCCCTATCCTACTTGCTGTCCCTATAGATTCATCAATCCAGGGTTTCATATACTAAAAAACCGAAAAATATAACAAAAATTCAAGAGGGTGACCCCCAATGATGTAACACATCTGAGATAAACTCCAATATGCTCTAACAAAAACGAAAATACAGTAAATGTTGAAAACCAGATCAGGCCTAACATGCATCATGGGGGGATCAACTGACAAGGTTTTAACTGTTCTAATCAGGTTTACCATTTCCATCTTCCATAGGCATCTCTCCAACGCACTCGATTTGGTAACCGCTTTCCTCCCATCCTTCCAGAATGGATCGAGGGAAATCACTGGAGGTGTATTTCTTATGCAGATCCCACACATTTTTCTAGGGTTCCCACTGTTATCCATAGCCTTCGGCAAACCAGAGGACGTGTAAGACAGAAAATTCATGGTGTCTGAGGAAGCGGAAGACAGCTGTGCCAAGATTGTTGAACTATTGGTAGGCAGACAAACATGGTCTTGCTACATCAATGCTCTGTATGCTGTACGAAAAGATATATTATTCTGGCAAACCTGTGACTGACATTCTCAGTGAATATTAGTATAAATTTCCCCTGAAAATCAACTCCCATTGTTTGTGTGAATAGTCTGCAGTCATGAAAGGAGGGATTCTGTACACGTGAATAATTCAGGTACTGCGATATGGAGCTGGCCTATAGGGGCCCAATATACCTCTATCAATAGGGCTTTAAAAAATTCGTACCGGGGAAAATCAAAGATAATATTAACAGAAGATTGTTATGCCCTAGAGGGATGATCGATAAGACTCTCTAGCATAAATTAATAAGGAGGTTTTGAAAGGGAGCCAACGGCAGACTGAAAAACAAAAAAATAAAAGCACAGATCCAGGAATTTGGACTTGCACTAAATCCTAGCTCCAATTTAAGAACAATTAGTTCTTACTTCATGCCTCTGCTCTACACTTGCCCTCAGGAAGGGAACACAGAAGATACGGGTGCTATAGCAAAGTGTGGTGAAGAAATTAGAGGGTTCCCAGCTATCAGATAAAATAGTATGTTGGGTCTTAAGGGCTTGTTTCCAAACATCTAACTGTGATGCCAACGAAGACCACAGGGAAGAAGCACACTGACATCAGTCACTGGAGGATTGCAAATCAGATGATCTGAAGTCGGAGGAGGAACAGTATCAGAGCCTACATTGTGAGAATCCATAAACTTTCTGACACCGCTCAAACAAATATATGGGGACAAGTTAAATGTCTATTAAGAATTTAAATAGTTGAATGTAAAACTATCTGAAATTTAGACCTCCACCTAATTCACAATTAAAACCTCTTCAAAATATCTATTAAGAATGGAAAAGTAAAATATATTGTGGAGTTAAATATTGAAGTAACATTGGCATAGAAGGAAGTTCATGATAAATTGCTGTATACAAATACTAAACAGCTTTTAGCTACTGTTGACGTTGACTGCTTTTGCATCATTGCCAGTTCATACTATAACCATGCCACACATTAAAACTGCTCAATAGGGTTTTCTTAGTGATGAGCTTAAATGTAAACATGCTGGCAGACCTCTTCCTCCACAGGACTATTGGGTGGACTTGAACTGACAACCTGATGTTAGTAGCAAAGAATAAAAATTTGTGCCATTCAAGGACTTTGAATTGTTAATCTACCAAGTATATGTAAATCTAGATAGACTATCTATCATTGTATTGCACAGAAAAAGTCTGGAATGATTCATAAACACAGTTAAAACTGGTTATTCCTCCAAAATAAAAGATGTGGTAAGCAGTTTCATTGAATACGTAGCAGAATTCTCTTTCTTTCTTTTTTTTTTTAACTTTTTAAATGAGAATGTATACAAGGGAGCTCAAAATGTTCATGGAAAAAATGGGATTTAAAGATAGTGGATTTTTTCCCA